ACTACATCCTCCTCCTACTCCCACCAAGGTCACTGTGATTCCCTCGTCGTCGAAGAATCCTCAACCGTTATTTACCCTGATCCCGGCAGCGAGGCGGTATTTACTGGGTGTGGTAACGCCTGAACAAAATGGGATCGCTTTCCACCGCCGATTTTATGTGAGGACTGGGGGCAAACGTTTCCTGCGGATACCCTGGTGCTGTTCTTCAGTTCTTCATGAGGTCGCAATCATGTCGCACAACTAGTGCGATGGCTTGAGCAAACCGGTATGTTGTGTTCAGAAGAGCGCATATTCTCGCATCGATCACGTCCTCTGGCAAGTTCGCGCTCAAAGAAACATTCGGCAATTCATCGAGAAGAGAAGTCGTGGACATTGCCGGATGTGAAGGACCAGTTCCAGTCCAATCAAAGATGACTGTATTGGCCATTAATCACAGAAATAAAATGCGATTTGCGCTTCTTTTCTGAGAAAGTCACGCCTTCCAGCGCTGATTGACGGGATCTCAGCGATTTTGGAAGAGTCACGCAGAAGGGATCACTTTTTCAAGCCCCATCCCTCCGCCGTCAGCCCTGGTGAGGCAGGCCATTCGCAGCGCTGTCTTCTACCGTAGCTATTCAGGAGGCGGAACGGAAACTTTGGCGGAAAACCTGAATGGCCTTCAAATAATGCAAATTTCACCGCTCTGCGCTACGGGTTTTCTATAGCGAGTAGACAGTGACGAGGGTGCGCCGCCCCTCGCGCCCGCCCCTCAACCGGTGTGAAACCAGCCGGTCGGTCGCCGCAGTGGTCATTATTTTCGCCAGGAACGAGCCGATTTCCACGGCTGCTATCCCTCGCAAGCGCCGCCCAATTGCTGCGGCCATTTGCTGACGAATGTCGCCTCTACTGCGTGGATATTCGCGATATCTCTATCGGCAACCCCTAACAGTCGCCATCGCTGCTCTGGTGATCACTGGCCTTCTGCCACTCACCGTTCTCTATTTCCGGCCAATTCGACTCAGTAATAACGCCGAAATCGTGAGTTCCGACGCTTCCGACGAACGTCATCGGGGCCTGTTCGTGCGGCCGCCCGAAGGTGAAGGCGTTCCCGATGGCGGTCGTCACGCTCTGCCAACCTTTATCATTTGGGTCACTGGGGATCAGCGGCGCGTGGCGCCAGCATTCCGATTGCGCCATTTGCCTCATCCGCAGATCGATCTATGAGAACCTGACCATGCTAAACAGCTGGTAGGTGTGCCGTTTGGTTTGATGTTGTGATGTTTAGGGTTTCGACACGAAGGACACGGACTTATCCGGGTCGCGACTTGCATGGCAGAAGTTGCAGCAGACCCTCCAGAAGTCGAATCGGATCAACTTCCACAACCGACCACCGCTCTACCCTGCCACAGAAGCGCTGAACAGCTCAGACGAGGTGACGGTGACGAAAGACAAGGGCGAGGCGGTCATGGGCCGACGAGTTACTGAACACCTTCAACAAGGTGCCATGCTACGACTCACCTATACCATTTAGTGGGTTCAGCTGATAATTTTGCTTTTTCGTTTCAGTAACTCACAGCGATTTTTTCAGTGAATTATCTGAATCGAAGTGCCGAGTTTGGAGAGCATTTTTGAACCAGCATTTCTTCGAAAAATGTGCTCAATGCATGAGCAGATCGCTAAAGAACTGAGCGCTTTCGACAACTTACACACCCTACCGTAACGTTTGGAGCATTGCCAACTTCGTGTCGTGTCTGGCACCGAATTTTCTATTCAACTGCACTGAACTCTCTGCTAGTGATGTTGATACTGTTCATCACCTTATCGACTACTGTATACCGTATCGCAGTAGGTTGATAGCCTGCCAACTTGCCTGCAAGGAAGATCCGTCTTGTCCCGCCTGTCGAGGTGAGTCGTCTCAAGCCTCTTTGAGAGCAAAGGGCTCCTGAGCTTCATTGTTTGACACTTGTTTTGCGATTATTTCAAATGAGTCTCTTCAAATAGCCCAGTCTTGAGGGAGGGCTTAAAGGCACAATCCAGCAGAGTCGTGTGAACGATTCCCTTCGTTGTGGATAGACCCCTAGAGGACAATCACAGATGTGGCATTCCCGTGCACGGAAATCACCCGACAAGAGCGCTAGGGCCTTGCAAAGCTGCAGCAGCTGCAATTTTTTTCTTCCATCAGGCTGTTGTCTGGCGCCCTCTCATCTGTTGCGCTCTCTCGCCTCCGCGCTTAGTCTCTCATTCCTTAGCACAGCCGATTAGGAAGGTGAGTGAGCCCTTAACCTGAGCGTTTTCGACGGATTCTTTTCCTTTTTTCTTTACTGCCGGCCCACTTCGCACCAATACATTCGCATTCGTGTGCAAGAGCCACACCAATGTGATCCTGGGGCATGCCTTTAAGTCCTGAAATGTGGTTCCGTAAGGCTGTTCGAAGAGTTTTATCTGAACTAATCACAAAAAATTGTAATACATTTCCGAAAAAATTTATTTCATTCAGAAGTGCCGTCAAACTGCTCGTCGATTATGATGTTCGATCTGTTCTATAGACTTCTTCCTCGCGATTTGGACGCTCAACCACTTCATCTGAACACTTTTCTGCCAGTATTCACACTGACCGGCTATGCCACTCAGAACATTTTTCTCACTGTCGATCCTTATAACAACCTTGAAGAGGCGATTGTTCGCTTCATGGAACACGAAAATCTCATCATGAAAGGTACAAATCGCTTGCTTTATGTTCTCTCCTCTTAAGCGCAACAATCGCACCGTCTCTCTTCTAATTCTTCTCTCGAAACTCACCTCAAAACTCGTTCCAGAACTGGATCCTATTGCTGTGGCCTTTTTTTGGACAGCACAAACGTGGCCATAAAGCGCACAGTAGGTTTAATCGAAGTGAAATTGATCGGCCGATGGTTACGTCCAGACGTTCCTATTCTCCACGCGTCGCCTGGTTTCACTTTCTTGGGTCGTTCTCAGTTTTGATTGAGCGGCGACGTCTGAGACAAGGGAGATTTCCGACTGAAATGGCCAGTTTTGGCAGCGCGAAAGTGGAGGTTGTATCGACATATTCAGGGCCAGAAATGATGCCATGGATAAAAGGGAACTCCGGGAATGTTTATGCTGCTCACTGTTCACGTACAGAGGAAAGTTAACGACCTCTGGCGCTATAATCGACGTTTATGTAGTGACGGGGAATCTGGAACGTGCGAAAGAATCTAAAGACAAACTCGCGATGAAAGTTGATGTTCATAAGGCGCAATGTGGCTCAGGAGGGGGAGGGACCGCCCATGACATAGCGTTGAAGGTTAGGCAGATGCTCATTTCAGGGACTAAGCCTTATAGGAGAAGAGGAACTCTGAGGTGCGTAAGCAGTTCATCCTCTCCAGAATTCGTCCTTCT